CCCCCCCCCCCCCCCCCCCTCCACGTGGCTCCGATAAAACCACTCCACATTTTTTTATCGGCATTGTCCGCCGCCTACTCAAAGTTATTCTCCCTCTACCTCAAATTTTCGGGAGAACCCTGCTCTAACCTCACAGTAAAGTGGTAAATAACTTAATTTGTTTCCTTCCCACAAGTCAAACTAAGGAATACCCACATTTTGTACACTGTATTGTACCAGTACCATATTTTCTCCATTAAATGCCATGCCCAGAAATAAACAAGACCCTCAAAGAATTTATATTCAAGGCATATAAAGAAACTAAAGGTACAATTTTAAGATATTTAACCCTAAAAAATGATGACTAAAATCTCTAATAAATTCCAGGCTCAAATAAATTACAAAAGTCAAATAAATGCCAGATCCACCTAGCCAAGTGGTACTATGGTACGTGTAACTTGTAAGATACAGTGTAACACAATGTGGATATTCCTCAGTTTAACTTGTGAGAAGGAAATAAAGTATGAGGTGCTAAAATATAGATAGATAAAGGTAAAACAAGGGCACTTTCTAACACCCTTTCTTTATAGTAATAATAAATTTGCACTGGATGCCCCTCAATATGTTGTAATGTATGATTTTATATACACAGGGCTGATGAGAGATACTTTGCGTAAGAAAACACTCAAACTGTTAACATAGTTCATGTAGTATTGGACATGGCCAAAGGGTTACATGAAACAAAATAAGACCAATGTTTTCACCCTCATTAGTTTCCAAGGTGGATGCCACTGTGGTTTGGGTAGAGTTGCTGCCTTCTTCTGTTGAACCAAAGCTGTTGATGGTTTGGTTCCACCTACAGATACCAGTGCTTTGGATGGAGGGCCAAGTCGTTCTTTGCCACCAGTGGCCAGAGCCTTCTGTTGAATGTCCATAACACCTGAACTCTCCTTATGTGAGTGGAACCTGAAAGAAAAAAGGTGCTAATTAATAGGATGGCACTTCACAAGCACTTCACTGCAGTACTGATACAATGCAGCTTTCTTGATTCAACAGTCTTGCTGCCTGGGTGTTTATAGATGATATCAAGCACACTGTAATCTGTACAATCACTGAGATGCACAGACATACAGAGAGCAAATGTCAGATCAAGATGCTACATATACATTTTGTAATGTCTTCAATTGTCAGCAGTTACAATAGCAATAACAAAGAAAACTGCAGTAAGGCAAGGCAAAGGGGCTTTGATTGACAAGGGAATTAAATTTGGACAAAGCAGTTTCCTGTCTCTCTTTGCTTTCTTGTATCGTATTGAGGTTCATAAGATCTTGGAAAGCAAACTACAGGCTACAAACACAAATGTGAGAGGCATATACTGACCCTTCTCAACCTTATTCGATCAAGTATGGCCAGTTTTCTGAAAATTTCTTGAGACTTCGTGACTCTCATAAACCCACCAATGGACAAACAGTCACACCCCTTACATGCTGACATCGTGTGAGTCCACATTTATAAATGTACAGTGTTGTTATATTAAGTACTTCTCAATCTCTCTGTAGGAGGATCAACTGTCAAATACAGTACACTTATTGCAGTTATCATCACTGCAGGTTCCTTCACTCATTAAATTGTCATATCACTGACTTGCCTCTCACGCACTACTCACTGTGATGTTGTAGATGGTAGATTTGACATCAATTGTTCAACTCCAGCTTTTGAGGGAGATCTGTTATTTACTGCCATTTCCAAAGTCAATGCTACACCTAAAAAAGTATATTAATTAACCCATTTGAGCCATGATATCCCACAATACATTTCTTCTAGCACTATTAGAGACATTTTTCTAATGGTGATTGGTTCACATGCTAATGACTAAAGGTCAGTCCCCATTTACACAACTACAAAATCAACATATGATTCATAAGCATTCTCAACAAACGTAGTGAGAGTAGTGTGTCTACTGTTGTCCGAGAACAAAATGCAGTGAACCAAACCAGGACTCAACCCAGACTGTCCAAACGGGAGTCCATTAGGCCACTACACCTCCCCATCAATCTTACGTTAAAAGTTATGACCTACAACCAATCCCATACAGAAAACAGTGGAAAATGTAAATGCAGATATAATAGAAAATCCACAGAAGTGGGCATAGCAGTATTATAAAATATCTGAAAACAATTGAGAAAACTAAGTGAGTGGGAGAAGTAACTGAAAGGAAAAATGCTATTCAGTGTTAAGACTTAAATTGATTTCACACTCAACTTATTATTAGCTGTGTTTGTATCTTATTATCTTTGCAGCAAAGCAAAATAAAAATATTAAATTTGGTTTTCGACGAAACTGAAAATACTGCCACCAGTATTGTGATCAGTAATAGATAGGTTGAAAAGTTTTTCTCTAAAGCTGATCTTTTTTTGTCTTACTAAATTTTGGTGGTTTCTGACAACCTTCATCACAGCTAAAAAAGCTTCCAGAAAGGTACAAGAGAGGTCTCTGGGGGATTGCAGTCCTCCTTTACATAAAAGGTTATCTGATTACATAGGTTACATCCTCTGAAAGTTTCCCCTCTGGAAAGCTTTTAGACCAGTTAAAACATTAGTTCAAATATTTAGAAAGCCCAAGGATGATCAACCAAGTCAAAGGAATGGTATTCAGAGTAGGGACAGGTGCTGTGACTGCTCATTCACCTCACTGGAGAGAGCAAGTGCTCATAGAGGTCACACATAGCTGAACATGATCCAGGACACGTGAGCTACAATCAACACTAGCAATCAAACAACACGAGCACCGAGTCCACGGATCACAACATCCACCCAAGAGATGCCTAGATCCATGATCTAGGTGTAACCAACTACAACAAGAGGCTTTTCTTGTAGTCACTGGACTCCACTTTGCACAGTGAAGCTGTAATCAAGAGAAAACCACTCCCTCATGCTTACATGTACCTTTAATTCAGAATTAAAAAAACAACAACAGAAAAGTTTTTAGTGCAAGCATTAACCTTTTTTAACTCTGACGAATATGGACAGGAAACACCAAAAATTTAGTAAGATAGAAACAGATCCGCTTAAGTAAAGACAAAAAGTTCAAATATTTGTTTTTTTCTTGATATCCAGATTAACCAAGGGAGATGTAAGTCACACTAGCCAAAGCCAAAGGCTGAGGCTGATAATACTTAACAAGATCTTCATTATTCTGGATATCACAGAAAAATAAACCTAATTTAAGTCATTAAAATTTTAAATTGTCAGCCTGGGTTACCTGGGGTTGATGGATATGGATGTGTCCCTTGTATTAGGGGAGGTACCTCTGAAACTGAGCAGAAAAATCATCATCAATCAAAACAAAAATCAAAGTTCTTTATATTGCTGAATACTGAGACTACTGGTTTTGGATTCTCATCTCTGAGTCTTCCTTATCCTTATCTAACTAAGGATAATATATAGATTTAGCCAAGCCCTAAAGCAGAGCTCCTGGGCTGAGTTGTTCAAAGCCCAATTAAGCTAACCCAGGGTAAGTGAGAATTTTGATTTGAATTTTTTAACTTTGTGGTGAGGTTTTCTGCGTATTGTTTGGCCGTCCGTTTTGAGTTTGAATAATCTCAAAATACACAAAAGAATAGCAATGACAAACATTTGTATACAAGAAAATTTATACTTCAGTTAACTTTTAATCCTGGGTTACCGTTAACTGGCTTCTGGCCCTGTTTACAACAAGTTAACCTGACATGACCCCCGCGATCCAATAGAAAACCAGCACTTGGTTAGCGGTCAACTTAAAAAAATCATGTGACCTCGATGAGCTTTAAACTTGAGCCCGCGATATGGTTGCGTGATACTGGTCAGCGGGTACCTGTTTTGATAGGTGTTAATTGAATATCTATTTACAGTGCAGCTCAGATAAAAGCAAACCAAAATATATCCATAATTTGTGTCAGCCAAAAACGCATATACGCATATGCACATACCCACATTTGCGTATACAGTATACGTGCATATGCCTCATTAGTATGTATGAGCAAACGTATTGCTTCTTTTTTTCTTAACAGGTAACTGTTGTTTTCAATGGCTTGACAGCTTGCCACAGAGCAAGAAAGAGTTTTCTTTGTGTTGAATACACGTATACAGTAAATGCACATATGCCTTCAGACCAGACTTAGCTGAAACAAACATTTTGCAATTGGGCACTTAGCAGAAAATCAACAGACTGAATATTTGTTAAAAGAGAGAGTATTTTGCTTTTGAATCAAACATTTACCGCTTTCTGTAAGATAGAACCAGGGATAGACGCTTCAAACATCTCATCTTCAAAGAGCAAACACAACAGAAATATAACAACAGAAAGTAAACAAAGTTCAAGCAAGTGACTTGCAAGTGACATGCCGAAACACAAACACAGAACTTTCGTAAATTAGCTAACTGAGAACGGAATTTCAGAGAGGGTTTTATTCCCATTCTCAAAATTTAATGGGAATTACTGTAATGTTAAGTTAAAGATGGTTATTTTGCTTTTAAAAACTGTGAGGACTAATTGAGGTTCGCAAAATAATTTGTTGCCCTGGTAAGTAAACAAAGCAAACATTATTCCGTGTGTTTTATATTAAAATGTGTTAAAATGAGGAGTTCAAGAGATTGTTCCAATTTTCTTTCCAATTTTTTGGCAGCTAAAGATCAAGCAAGTGTTAATAAAGCGTAGTTTGTTGGTGAATTTGTGAAGCAATCGAAAACTTGAAATATGATAGCTTTCATTGATGTTTACACAATGTGCAAATACAGTGCAGCTCAGATGTATGCAAACTATGCATACGGGTATTATACGAGCGTATTTTGCGTATATGCGTATGTTAATATGCGCACATATATGCGTATATACGCGCACATATGCGCATATACATGCGTGTATATGAAGAAGCTAGTCATAAAAGGGGATAAGTGATAATTTTGGTTGTTTTTCTTTTTTTTGGTCCAAATTAGCTGAATTTTTGCATGTGGTCTTCAATGTAATAGAAAAACGTGGTTCTGTATTTTTGTCGCTGGTTTTTGCTTTGTTTTCGAATTAAAACGTAAGGCAGCTGATATACCGTAATCGTGTTATCAGCGTTTGAAGTCAGATTGAGCCAGGTAGCAAAGTCCAAGAGCAGTTCCTGCCCAAGAAAAATACCCTCTGGTGAGTTGTGGTCCATTTGCCAAGCGTTGCTAGCGTCAAAGTTTGGAAAGCGAGAACTGGTTTTAGACTTATAAAATTTGTCTTGTATGGACCGCCATGTTTTCCTGCGCACGAGGTGTAAAGACCCTTCCCGGCATGCATTGCAATTACGTTCTGCGGA